GTTCATTTCTTGCAAGTCTTGTCTTTGGTATCTCAAAATGAAAGAAGTTGTCTAGATATTGTGCTGCTTTTAAGTTGACTAATGCATAAAACATCTCATTTACATTTTAAACATCTCAAAAATGAGATGACATTGCTATTATAAAAATAAAAATATATATCTCACCTTTGATATATACTTTTATCTACCTTTACAGATTGAGTCTTTGAATAAACATTAACTATCTCTTTTTGTTATACAGTTATTGTTTTTGAAATGATAGAAACTTTTCATAGATAATAACCACAGAAGAAGTTACAAAAAAATCATAATAATAGTTTACACGAAAAACATTTACATCAAGAATACTCGAGGTTACTTGCCTGCAAGAAAAAGCAAACCACACAATACAATCAATTTCTTCTTTTGACGGCAACATATTTTGAATGTCGAAGTAATCGTTTACAATTGGCGCCATGATTCTTACATCACTCATGATCAGCAAGTAGTGAAAAGAAATATTTTCTTTATTTTAGACTCATTTATTTACAAAAAAGTAAAACATAGTGATTGTTATGGATTTAACTGTAAATGAATTAACATCGGCGTCATCATTAAACAATAACAGCAAAACACTAGTGACTGATATGGAAAAATCGAATGAAATGCAACTGAAATTTGATGATGACGATGATGATGAGAAAAAATCATCGGCATCATCAGAATCAGTAATTATGACGAGTATGATTCGTGGTTATCAGTTATCACAAGTACTTTATGTTGCAGCAAAACTTGGTATAGCTGATATATTAGCTTGCCACAATCGTATGAAAATCGATGAACTATCTAAACTAACTGATACACATACACCATCACTTGAACATTTACTTCGTGCATTGGTTCATGTTAATGTATTTAGAGTAGATGAAGATGGTTATTATTATTCAACATCCTTAAGTAAATTATTAGAAATGAATTCATCAAGATCAAGTGTTCTCACATGGGTTCAACCATGTTTCTGGCAAACATGGGGCTCATTACTGAACAGTATTAAAACAGGTAAATCATCATTTGAAAACTTATATGGAGTGGATTTTTACCAATACTCAGGACAAAATCCAAATATTAATTCTACATTCAATGAATGTATGGCATCTGGACCACGACATAAACAATTTGTAAAAATTTATGATGGTTTTTCTAATGCGAACTGTGTTGTTGATATTGGTGGTGGAATTGGTAGATTACTTATGAATTTATTAACAAAACATAAACATTTAAGAGGAATATTATATGATTTACCTCATGTAATCAATACAATTAATTTACAACATTTAGATAAATCAGTAGCTGAGCGATTTACAATTATTGGTGGTGATATGTTTACTGATATACCAATTGATGGTGATATCTACATTATATCAAATATTTTAATGGATTTAAATGATGAGAAAGCACAAATTCTATTACATAATTGTCGTCAAGCAATGAAAAATGGTAAACGCTTATTAATTGTTGATGTAATAATGTCATCGTCTATTGATGTTAGCACGAATGAATTATGGAAAGAAATATCTTATTTACATATGCTTGTTGTTCATCATGGTAAATTTCGTACACAATTAGAATTTCAAACATTATTGGAAAATCAAAATTTTAAATTAAACAGAATTATACCAATAATGAATAGTCTTGTATATGTAGGCAGCATATTAGAATGTATTGCAACATAAAGATCTTTTATTTATAAATAATATTCTTATTATTTGTACAACACACACAAGTCAGCTTCGATTTCAAGATTTATAATTGGAACTTAATAAAATAATATGTAGGTGCAATATTTTAACTAATTTACAAATAAAATATATTAATGTCAAATTTGGTCAGTTGTTTGGAAATAAAAGAAATTCATAGGACAAGTAATTCTAACTATAGCCTGATGTCGAGAAAGAAAAGTCATTTTAGATTTAGGTTATTTCTGAACACTCTTTCTTGTTTTATTTTTATTGTTACGGTTCAACGTCAAAAATGTCTTCGTCAGATAGAAGTAGAATAAATGTGGAGAATCGATAAATTAATTAGACTATATATATGTGACAGTGGAAATTGGAATTCGCAGGAATTCGACTAGTGCAAGTTGGAATTCCAATCTCCGCTAGTGCAAATTAGAATAAAGTGACTGTTCTAACTTCAACTGCACTGTAAATAAAAAGCGTATACTAGAAAATCCTACACGCTTCAAAAACCCTTTCGAAAACTGTTTTCGGTATTCGAAATGATCTCGAAAACTCTTTTCCGTATTTGAGAATATACGTAGCGTACCTGAACCTTCGAAAACCCTTGGAAAAAACAAAAAACTTTCTCATAGCCGAAACAGTATCCTCAAATACCGAACAAGGTATTATATAAAACTCTTTTTTCTCAAACATTTTCCAAAACCTAAAACATATCAGGATATTCGTTTGTCGGTTTTATAAAATACCTTTTCGGGTATTTGAATCATTTCCTATAAAACCCTTCGGTTTTCAAAAGGTAGAAAACTCTCTAGCGTTTTAGAAAAGACCTTTTCGATTGTGTTAGACGCATTTCGGAACCTTATTCCGTTTTGAAAAATAACGTTTTCTTTTTTTTCAAATTCAGAATGA